GTGTGTGTGTGTGTGTGTGTGTGTGTGTGTGTGTGTGTGTCTTGGTCTCTGTTTCTGTGTGTCTGTGTCTGTCCATGTCTCCTCTTGTTATTTGTTGGTCTGGGATTATTTCCTATGTTTTCTTGCATGTGGTTAACCTGTTTTGATTGGAATTTTCCTTCTAGTGCCTTCTGTAGGGCTAGACTTGTAGCTAAATATTGCTTAAATTTCGTCTTTATCATGCAATGATTTAGTTTCAATTGTGATTGAATGTTTTGGTGGGTATAGTAGTCTGGGCTCTCATCTGTGGTCTCTTAGAGTCTACTGAACATGTGTCCTGGCCCTTCTAGCTTTTAGGGTCTCCATTGACAAGTCAGGTGTAATTATAATACATCTTCCTATGTTTCTTGGTCTTTTTCCCTTGAAGCCTTTAATATTCTTTGTTATGTACATTTAACATTGTATTAAGTGCTGAGGGGCATTTCTTTTCTGGTCTAGTCTATTTAGTGTTCTGTATGCTTCTTATACTTTGATAGGTATCTCCTTCTTTAGGTTAGGGAAATTTCATCTATGGTTTTGTTAAATATTTTCTGTGTCTTTGACCTAGGTTTCTTCTCCTTTCTCTGTTCCTATTATCCTTAAATTATTTTCATGGTGTCCCAGATTCCTAGATTGTGTGTGCCAGAATGTTTTTTAGATTTAACATTTTCTTTGACCATTTATCCATTTCTTCTACCATGTCTTCAGTGTCTGAGATTCTCTGTCTCTTTTCTGTTGGTGAGGCTTTCCTCTAATGTTTGAGTTCTAAATTTTTCATGTCCAGATTTCCTTCAGCTTGAGTTTTCTTTATTGATTCTATTTCCATTTTCAGATTTTAGACTGTTCTATTCACTTCCTTCCACTGTTCTTTTGGTTTTCATGGATTTAAGAGATTCATTCATTTTCTCTTTTAGGAACTCTATCACATCCATAGAGGCTGCTTTAAGGTCTTTGTCTTGGGTCTCAACTGTGTTGCAGTTCGCAGAGTCTGCTCTGGTAGGCTTGCTGGGATCTAGTGGAGGAATAATTGTCCTGGCTGTTATTGGTCATGTTTTATGTTGTAGTCTAGGAATCTGCTTTGGGGTGATTGTAATTGTAGGTGTTGATATCTGGTCTGGTCTCTGTTGGGTTGGTGTTTTGTTCCTTAGTTTCTGTTGAGCTCTTTCTTTCTTTGGAGGGTGTAATGACTGGGAAGGAATTCTTCTCAGATCCTGCTAGGTGTAGCCACTGGGTGGAGCAGAGGGTCTGGGTAAAATTTGTTTCTAGGTATTGGGAACTGACACTTAGGAATTATGATGGGCTGAGGTAGGGAGATGAGGGGTTCCACAGGACGGGGAAAGCAGAGTGTTCCACCAGGATCTACTTAGTCCCATGGGTATGGGGGAAGATGAGTAATGAAAGGCCCCAACAGGTAATCTGCTAAGAAGATGGGTATGAAACTGGGAGATTCAATGTAGCGGAGAAGAGGGAGAGTGAAGACCTGATGCTTGACTCTCTGCCTCACTGGCCTACTTGCTTCTTAGCTGGAAGCTTCCCACAGAGTGTCTTCTAGAGGTGGGAGTTGGGATAACAGGATGAGTGGGGAGGAAGACTGGAAAAGATCTTCATGATCCACTGGACATGGAGGCAGAGAGGAGGGGCAGGCTACAGCAGGTAGTCAGACACAGAGCTAGGGATGAGACTGGGGGAAATGGATTTAGAGAAGAGGCAGAGGTAAAGATCTGCAGTTAGCCCTTGCCCTCCAGACAGAGAAGCAGGTAGGCTGTTTTTTGATAAAACATATAAAAGATTTGAGGTCAATATTGGTCCTATACAGTGGACCAAAGTAAATACATGTTGGATTAATCTGTATGTACAGAGAGTTCATTTTCTACTCACACTCTTCCACAGGTCTCATTAATTCTGTCTTTATTTTTCCCCACAAAGCTTAATCCAGACCCAAGAATAAGATGGCAGACACATTGATGCTATTTTCTTCCTTTTCTAAATTTGGGCTATTTTAATTGGATCAGCTGAACAATGAGAGATTAAATGAATTCAAGTTACTCCTAAAGGGGAATGTAGATCCTGGGCACTGCTCAATACCATAGGTCACACTGAAGGCCAATGGGGGAAATTGGTTTACCTGATGAAGAAATACTACCCAAGAAGGCAGGCATGGAACATGGCCCTCAAAATCTTTGGCAATGTAAACCTGAGAGATATGTGTGAAAAGAGTAAAACAGAGTCCAACTGTGTTGCTTAGGAACTGAGACAAACTGTTTTCTTGGACACTGGATCATTTGAGGAACACTGAAGAGCAGCACAGGGTTGAATGCTGTTACTCTGGCTAGGTCTTGGGAATGATGCGCCTGCATGTATCTACTAAAATGATTTAAGGAACTGAGTGATGATGCCTACTGAGTATACCTGAGCCTAAACTACAAACCAAGTCAAAACTTTTGAGGAATCTCAGATATGATCAACTTATTTGCTGAAATGAGTAATGGGCCAACAAACTCAAATGAGTAGTACTGTTGGTGATTCTTATGTGAAATTCCAGATTTTGAAAATGCATGAGTAGCATCCAGGTTCCATATGTAAGGCTCTATACTTACAAGTGTGTGTGCGTGTGTATGTGTGTGTGTGTATGTGTGTGTGCGCGCGCGCGCACATATACATTATCTCCTTTGAACTTCATTTAACCCCTCTGAAGTCAGAATTAGCAAGGGAACTTTGTGCCTGATGTTAGAGCAGAGAGAGGGTGAGAGGTCCACCCAAAGCTTGTACCACATTTTCTTCTCAGCTGAGCTGTGGCAGCTTGAAGCTCTTGACTCTAGTTTTACTAAATCCAGATTGCCATAGAATCACAACACAGAAAAATTCTGGCTCCCATTCTAACCATTCCTAACACTCTATTACTGGTAAATCTCATGATCCTCTTGGCACCTGTTTCAGGGACAAAAAGGACCATGGAATCAGAGGATGTTGAGATGATCGAAGACCATGTTTCTGAAGAGGAAATTCTCTCTGGTGACAAAGACTTTGGTCAGCTTTTCTATGTTTTTATAGCTTTATGATGGCAGGGTTAGTTCCTAAGGACCGTTAATAAGTTAAACAGTTTACTTCCAATGGGCCACTGTTCTCAGTCATTCAAAGTCAATAAGACTGGATTTATGACCTAGTCAAAATCAAAACCATATTGACTTCAGGATATCAAGCAAACAGTATTTAGAAATGCCTAGTCAAAAGTTAGCCTAGGGGGCTGAAGAGATAGCTAAGTACTTAAGAACACTTACTGCTCTTCCACAAGTCCTGGGTCCATTTCCAAATACCTGTATAGCTGAGAAGGAGGGAAGGTGGACAGAAAGGAGGAAGGGGGGCAGAGAGAGAAGGGCATGAGTGGGCAGTGAGAATTTTAACATTGTGAATCTAAAGAGAATTCAATGCTTTGATCATGTGTGTCTTTGGTTCTTTTCCATTCTACCTGACTTAGATGATAGAAGGGACTACAGAACTATAATAAAGGAAAAATTTTATATTATATGGGATAAGAGCTCTTTGCTTGGAGAATCGGCAACTTTGAATCATGTAATCACTGAGAAAGACCAAAAGCTGTTGGACCGTATCTTTGAAGTGGATATTAAAACCTACAAGATACCACAAACCGTAATCCTTCAGGGAGCTGCTGGAATTGGGAAGACAATGTTGTTGAGAAAGGCAATGTTAGAATGGGCAAATGGCAATCTCTACCAGCAATTTACCTATGCTTTTTATCTCAGTGGGAGAGAAATTAGCCAAGTGAAAGAGAAAAGCTTTGCTCAGTTAATATCCAAGAATTGGCCTCGCTCTGAAGGCCCCATTGAACGGATCCTGTCCAAGCCCAGCAATCTCCTTTTTATAATCGATAGTTTTGATGAGCTGGACTTCTCCTTTGAAGAGCCAGAGTTTGCACTATGTAATGATTGGACCCAGAAGCAGCCAGTGTCCTTTCTTATTAGCAGTTTGCTGAGGAAAGTGATGCTTCCTGAGTCATTCTTATTGGTAACAGCAAGACCCACAGCTTGGAAGAGACTGAAGCCCTTGTTACATAAACCTCATGGTGTAAAGCTGCCAGGACTGTCTAAGAATGCAAGGATGGACTACATTCACCATTTGTTGAAAGATAAGACATGGGCTATGGATGGGATCTGTTCAATTAGAAAGAATGAGAGGCTTTTCAACATGTGCCATGTCAGCCATGTGTGCAAGGTGATTTGTACTTGTCTGAAGGAGCAAGTGAAGAAAGGTGGCAATATTGCTGTGATCTGCCAAACCACAACAGCTCTGTTCACATGCTATATCTGCAGCTTATTTTCACAGATAGATTGGAGTATTACTACTCTGCCCAATGAAACACTAGTGAGGAGCCTGTGCCAGGCAGCTGCTGAAGGCATTTGGACTATGAATCATATACTCTACAAGAAAAACCTCAGAAAGCATGAGTTAACTAGAGATGACATCTCAGTTTTCCTGCATGTGAAGGTTCTTCAGAAGGACACGGAGTATGGAAACTGCTTTGCATTTACTCACCTCCATATCCAGGAGTTTTTTGCAGCTTTGTTCTACTTCTTAAGAGAGAATCCAGAAGAAAAAGACTATCCCATCAAACGGTTTGAAAACTTGCATCTGTTACTTGAAAGCAACTGTTTTCATGACCCTCATTTGGAACAGATGAAATGCTTTTTGTTCGGTCTACTGAATAAAGAACGAGTACGACAACTGGAGGAAACC